ATTTTTTGCTGGGATCTTGGTTTGGACTTTGACTGGGCTGTTCACATGATCCGAGGACCAATATCAAAATGGTTTGCCCAGGGTTTTGCAGTTGGAGTAGGGTTAGGTTTAGAGTTGAGAATAGGTCAACAGTCTGGGTTATGAATACGGAATAAAATTATAAGTTATTCTGAACTGTCCATTTCTTGGTGATATTGGACCTTGCATTGGGGGAGCATGATTTCTCCCGAAACTTTCTTTAATAAACATTCACATCATCTTGTCACAAAAAGTTTTTTCCATTGTCACTTACGCTTAAAACAGGTCTTTCTCGGATTGCTCATTTGTTTGTGATTGTTTCCCCTATTTGCATCTACCTGTCTATCCTTTGCAAAATATAAGAAGTTGTGCATTAACACTTACTTGAGTAGTGTCATGTACTTTGCCCTTCTATATAGTACTGCCTTTTACTAAAGAATAATTTAACCAACTCTATAATGACATCATGGTTTGATTAATAGATGTCTTCTTCCCCCTTTGGCATGACTCCAAAATGGCACTTCTAGATCTCCAGCACAGAAGGCGTTCAATTTGGATTTGGAAACACAAATTAGTGATTTAGATTAAGATGAAGAGATCCTTTAATCGTCCCACAGTGGGGAAAAATTCAGTTCTGCATCGCAAGCTAAAGAACAAATGAGGAGCACACAATAAGTTAAGTGAATATTAAGTATAGCAAAATTCTATACTAATGCAGGAGGGTCTGTTGGACGGTTCATGTCTAACAAAAAGGACTGTGATTTAATAATCTTTATCGGTCTTGCTTTTTTATTGAAAACTGTTGTTGTTGATCGATTTCACAGTGTCAATAGTTTCCTGCACTTTTTTAGTTTGTTTGATTCCTGTACTTTTAACATTGTTTAATTATTCACTTGTCTTGTGCACACTGGGGACAGTTGCAAACGTATTCCAATATGGTTTTACTGCAAATGCCAAACAAATGAATCTGATCTGAATGTGGTCCCATATAACCCACTCTGTAGAACATTAGTGATCATGCTCAGCCTATACCCCCACTTTTCTGTCTCTTTTTCTTCTATATGTACAAATTATCCCCCTTTTATCCTTATGATAAGAGACGTGCGTGCGTATGGGTGAATGCATTTACGGTCTGTGGGGCACACATACAGAAGACGTGGAATGCTTCACCGAGCCTATCGCGCCAACAAACTCCACCCTCGCCTTTACAGTCAGCGCCTCTTGTGTCAAAGTAGTGCTGGAGAGAGTGTGCGTGTGTGGAGGGGGGGGGAGAGGCTCCGCGCTCCTCCTTGGCTGCTCTCATTGCGGTCCAGTCCAGCGTGCCAAGCGGACTATACACACACAGCAGAGACGCGCGCATCTCGGATATAAACACAGCGTGCATTTCGCCCTGCAAGAAAAGCCACAACAGGAGCATTCTCTTCCTTGCAATGTTTCTTCTACAATATACGGGTAAGCATTTTTAAAGTTTGGATCTTTATCAATACACGCCTCCGCTACATCACTGCAGTTTTAACAGCTCTTATGTGATGTGATTTATTCTCGTTCGAGTTTTGCTGCAAGTTGGATTTTTTTTCTCCATACGTCGCGCAGTCCATTCATGCAACCATCCATCCATCACCGGCTTCTCATTCAAATGCCTTTCCATCTCTTCTGCCGGTGATGCCATGTCCTGATTCTATAGACTGTATAGACTAAATGAATGATGGACTGTCTTCATATTGTAACATCGTCCGGTGGTGTGCGCCAGTGGCCACATCCTATCCAATAATAGCCCGTCGTGTTTATTGGCGCACACGCAGCCCGCACCTGGGTATAGATCTTATAGATAGAGAAGTTTGCAGATGCGATTGGGGTGCTGTCGCGTAATTACTGCGGTGGGACACAGGCTCAAACGCGTTTTTCCCCACTGTGAGCTCATGTTGTATTGTGACTTGGTAGACCGGTGGACTGCTGGCATCACGTATAGAAGCGTAGCCTTGCAAGCACGGACGACACGTACAGATGCTGCTTAATGTTGTTATTACTTTACTTATCATGCACTTTCATCAAAATATTACTGCTCTGGCACTGGGATGCACAGTGGTATTTTGCTTGGACTTGACAAATATCAGCAGATCCAGTCCAGTTTTTATTTATTTTTTTTCATGCTGAATATTTGCAACTATCCACAGCTGTAAATATATATATTATGTATGTATCACTCATGTTTTCCAATTCGGTCCTTGGGTTTCGATTGACAATACAGATGACTGCGAAAGCCACGCTCCATCAGTGCATGTGACAGCCAGTTACCTCCATATATTGCATCGGCCCCACTGATAAAGTTGGCAGCTCTTCTTTATATCTCTTTCCATGCAGGTACAGGCACTTCGATCAGTCAGAGGAGAGATCGAATGCCATAGTGCTTATGCTGAAAAAGGAGCCCATCACGACCCTATTTGATAAGACTATAGGGCACATTAAAATAAGAACTGGGCATATAAGGGCTGCAGACTACAGAGGTAGCCCAAAGGAATGCTCTTGACTTTTCTTAATGAGCTGTAGTCACACTTTGCTTTTGGTATAACAGCCCTGTGTGCTAATGACAACAAAGTAGACTGAAAAAGGAAATGTGCTGGCAATGCTGTGTACTCATTAAAGCTGGCCTCTGTTATTCGGGGATACGATTCATGGAGATAATTTCCGCACTGCATTTGAAGATCTAGCACCTTTATGTTTGGAAAGCTGCCTACGTGTGTGCAAAGGGCATATGACAAATAATATCACATCTTTATAAAAACCTATAGCTTATAATTCCAAGTTTGGTTCTGAGTCATATTTAGTTGAATATATGCAAGCGATATAACTCAGATTAAGAGATTTTAACTGGCTATATGGGATAACGAGCTTATTTTGAATGATCACATTTAAGTCCAATGAAAACAACAACGTGTCCGGGGTTATTATGAAAAAAAATGGCTGTACCTAAACGTATCTGTTCAGAGGTTCACATGTCAATTTGTCACCAATTTTACAGATGTTTTACTTGATTGTATGTGAAATCTGTGGAATATAACAGAGTTGGAAGGAATTTAGGGTAAAAATGCATCACAATGTTTTGTCCCTATTGACCGATCTCGATTCCTGTTTCCATGTTTTCAGTATTTTACTTTAAACAAAACAAAAAAACTGGTGTGACATGAACAATGTTTTTATAGCCGAACTTAACTGTGCATAATTTGTAATCCCATCACAGTGAACGGTAACCACATGAGTGAGAAAGTAAAACTCATGCTGCCTGCCTCCTAATTCTTTTATTAGAACTTTCTTCAGCTCCTCCCACAGTTACTGTCACATGACGGGTATCTTTTCAATTCAGTTGTTAATAATCATGATCGATTGAACTACAGAGTGCAATCTTTGGATTTGACACAGCCCTAGTTAAGTGTTGAATAGTAGTAGTAAGTAGCAGTAATGTTTATTTGTATAGCGCATTTTACAGACCAAGGTCACCCAAAGCGCTTTACAATGTTCAGAGTCAGATATTGTTCCAATCATTCCACACACGATGATGACGGAAGCGAGTCGCCGAACACACTGGACCATCAGCCCCCAATCACCACCATCCATTCACATTCATACCTATTGTGCATGTCTTTAGTGGTAGGGGAAACCGAAGCACCCAGAGGAAACCTACGCAGATACAAGGAGAGCATGCAAACTCCACTAAGAAAGGCCCTGTTCTGACCGGGATTCGAACCCAGGACCGTCTTGCTGAGAGGCGAGAGTGCTATCTACTCAGCCACTGTGTCGCTCAATAGGATAGAATAGGATATATTGTGACTTATAGGGTAATAAAAATGGCTTAATATGGCTCCTTTAAAGATGCAGTAAGCGATTTTGTTAGCTTAGCCATAGCACCAACTCGAAACCACTCCCCCCTCCCCTCGCCTTTCCACCAAACCAAACATCCAGCATTTTATTTTCTTTGTCACAACAGGGAGAGTGGGTGGCAAACGTGAAATTGGCATTTATTGTTGTTTGGGAAAATATTCCGATAACTCAGGCACTCTCGAGAAACAGGAAGAGGGTGAAGGGGGGTAATGCCTCCCATTGGTTCGTTGGAGATGAACGAATCCCATTGGTTTATTTTTATTGGTCCGCTCCAAAAAAAAATTGGAGACTGCTCAATTCCATTACTATTTGAAAACACATGATAGCTTGACTACTTTTAGGGTTTAGGGAAGTTTTACCACAATATTTAAAAAAATGTGTCTGGAAAAAAATCACTGACTGCATCTTTAAGGCCTAAAAGGCATTGAGTACAAAAAAAATTCCTTGTAACCTGTCAAACTATTAACTCTGAGCTTAGAAATGGATCTCCCATGAGAGCACACCAGCAGCACACCAGCAGCATCAGGACATGAAACCAGTGAGCTGCATTGGCCCATTATAGTGTATAAGCTGTATGTGAAAGAAGCTTCTCTCCTGCACCACTATGATAAACTCTGCTGACAGTCCCTTTGAGTGGGGCTGAATACAGGAGAGGTTTCTGGAGAATCTGGATTAAGAACTTCTACTACCAAACACTAAGAATACCTTCGGCTGTGTGCTGATCCCTGGAGACCACAAGAGAGGAAGCAATTTTTAGAATACCCCCTCATTGTGCCACAGTCAAGCGACGCAAATGAGGATTGGGTGATGGATGACCACATGCATGTAGGGCACCACTGCTGTTGCTCCAGATCTATTGCCGTGACCAGGACTCCTTAATGAGCATTTTTTTTGCCAGCAAACACACAACAATCACACTGCTTCAAAATTGTGTGAAAACTAACTACTACTTCTGGAGATAATTAGTCTGGAGCAGATCAAATTAGATGGTCTAAAATAAGCTAAAGTCAGGACACTTCACTAGCAAGAACCATGCCACAACAACTGAATGCAATTGAAAGTATTTATTGGTGACAGTGAATGAGCTTGTGATGGCTGGGTGAGACTCAGGAAAGCCCAGCCAATTCTGGACCTCCTTTCTTGGTGATGATGAAGGCTGCGGACAAATGACACATGGGTGTGAGGGTGGGTCGAGAACTCTGTCAAACGTGACAAAGGAAAAACAGTAAATGCTTCCTAAAAGAGGAGTAGAAGAGGAAGAGGGGTGTGATTGGCTGACTGAGCTAACCACACCAATTATATAAAATGCATTCACTTCATGTTTGAATCATTTCTTTGCACCAGGCTGGCAATCTACTCAGTCACTCCAAACTGTTAGTAGAATTTGTATTGTCCAGGTAGCCAAATACTGTATGATTTTACAACATTAAATTATTATCATTATATTACAATGTTTATATTGTTATATACATATTCTACAGTCAGTCACAAGTTCAATGAGTTTAATGAGCTGCGGTATGAATGTATTGCAACTGTCAAGATGGCGGACGCATTTGTTTGGAGCCTTTTTTGAGTTGCACATTTTTATGAGTTATTTTTAAAACTAAGTTTCTATCACTGTTTTTATTCGCCCTGCTCGACGGATTACGCGGATTTTAACAGACTGCATCAAAAAGGATTACTGTCACTTTTAACAGGACTGTCTATCAGCCTTTCACCGGTAACCACTACACATCACCATGGACACCGATGCTCCCCCCGCGAACTCATACAAACAGATATACAAATCACAACTTGCTTCAATCCTCCCATCAAAACCAGTAAACACCATGACCCCCGAGGAACTTCAGCGCACTGTCACAGAACTATCCACTGAACTCATACATAAAGAGAAACTTCTGGAACATTTAATGGACATATCATTCAAACAGTCACAGCAAATATCCCTCTCCGTACTCAGACAATCACAGCTCCACGACACTGCACTCTGGGATCCAATCGCCTGTCCTCACCCCTCATCCTGCTCTACCCCGGTGCTTACCTCACGCTTCCCGGTTGCGGTTGCTCCTGTCCCTCCCGGTGTTCTTCCCTCCTCTACGGTCCCGGAGCCTGCTGCCCATACCCAGAGCGGCGCGGAGCAGAGGCCTGGAGGCCACACGACATCCACGGTGTCCTCTCGCCGCAGGGTTGGTGGAGGAGGCTGTGCGCAGACGCTCGGGGAGCTTCCCACGCTCTAAAACAGCGCGGGGCTCTCCGGGTGTCACGCAGGACCAACTGCGGGAAGCCCCGGGGGATCTCTGTGCCCCGACGCGGCACCGGATACCCCCGGGAGCGCTGTCCCTGCTGTGGGAGGGTCCGTGCGCTCTGACGCGGAGGGAATCCCCAGAGACGGGACACGAAGCAGGTCCTACGCTGAGGTGGCCGCGGGGGGGCCTCTGCGCTCTGGCACGGTGCAGAGTCCTCCCGTAGTTGCTGCCTCGCCCGCGGGGGAGTCTTTGCGCTCAATTTCGGCGCGGAGCTCCCCCGCGGAGGCTGTCTCGCCTGCTGGAGGATCTCTCCGCCCGGTCCATGGCCCTCCCACAACCGCCCGCACTACCACCACCACCAACCCCGCTGCAGGGGCGCCGGCTCGGTCTCCGGCTCCATCCTCCTGCTCCACTGCGGCTCACGGGGCTCGCAGCAGCTCTGCTCCGGGCACCTCCCAACGCTCTCCTGTCCCCTGCTCTCCCCCGGGCCCTACTCCAGTCACACCCTCCCCTCCACGGCCTCTGTTTGCACCAACTACACTCCTGGTGGGGGACTCTATCATCAAACACTGTAAGTTCTTCAATGCCATCACACACTGCTTTTCCGGAGCCACTGTCCCTACCATCCTCACGAAACTACCCGCACTTCTACAGACAGCACCCCCCACAATAACCCGGATCATAATACATGTTGGTACAAATGACACTTCACTTCGCCAAACTGAAACCACCAAACTCCATTTTAAGGACCTTTTTAACCTTTTATTGAAATCCGGCAAAAGTGTTTTTATCTCTGGCCCTCTGCCCACGTTGAACCGGGGCGTGGAACGTTTTAGCAGGATACTATCACTCACCACTTGGCTTCAAAACTCATCACAACAGCACAACTTTGGTTTTATTGACAATTTTAATCTGTTCTGGAACCGCCACCCCTTCTTCACACCCGATGGACTCCATATCAATAAACTCGGCACCCGGTACTTGATTTCAAACATCACCCACTCAGTCCAATCCCGTCCCCCGCACCTCTGACAATCCACCACTCCATCCCACATCATTCCTGCCCCTCTGGACTCCAACATCGGTCCCTGCTCCCCCCTCCAGCAAGGAATTTCAGTTCTGTCCAGACCCCGCCCCTACAGACCGTCCATACTCCGGAAACCGTCCCTCAACACCCTCATCCCTGTTGCCCTTTGCTCCTCCACATCTTCTTCTCCCCTCACCACAAACAAAAATGACCCCCCATCTACCATCAGGTTTGCTCTTTTAAATGTACGCTCTCTTTTAAATAAGACTTTTACTGTAAACGATTTGATTTTAGAACACGAACTGGATGGTATGTTTTTAACTGAGACGTGGCTGGGTCCGGATGCTCCGGCTGTTCTTACAGAGGCTTCCCCTCCCGATTTTAGCTTTGCTTTTAAAACAAGAGAAGGAAAGAGAGGTGGCGGCACAGCCTCAATATGCAGTAACGCCCTGGCCACCAAACCTATTGTTTTTAACCAATACTCAAGTTTTGAGTATCACTCTCTTGTTTTTAGCAACCCCAAAATTTTAACAGTAATTATTTATAGGCCACCTAAAAAGTGCAGCCTTTTTATTCATGAATTCTCAGCGTTTTTATCACAGTTACACAATTCTTACAACATGATAATTTTAACCGGTGATTTTAACATACACATTGACAATCCCTCTGACAATTTTACCCTAGATTTCTTAGATGTTCTTAATTACATGGATTTTACCCAACACGTCAGACAGTCAACACACAACAGGGGACGCACCCTCGACCTGGTCATTACCTATGGCCTGACTGCGGATGTGCCCTCTGTTGTCGACTTGGCTGTCTCGGACCACTACTGTGTGTTTTTTAACATCACTGGTTTTATTCAGCGTGAGACCTCTGTGAGAACCGTGAGGAAGCGACATCTAACCCCTGAAGTGGCTGCAAATTTTATCGACATCCTAAACAACACTCCCCACTTGGTTTTACCTGCCCCCTGTGATTTTATAGCAAATGATTTTAACAGTAGACTTAGTTCCGCATTGGATCAAGTCGCTCCTTTAAAAACAAAAATCATAAAAACAAAATCTGTACCCCCATGGAGAAATGAGGAAGTACGGAAAATGAAACGAGAGTGCAGGGTGGCAGAACGAAGGTGGAGGAAAGATAAAATAACAATCAACTACGAACTATATAAAAGCAATCAAAAAGCATACAATAACACAATTAGAAATCATAAGAACAAATACTTTGCAAAGCTAATCACCCAAAATAAAAATAACCCAAAGGTCCTCTTTTCAACCATCGACACCATTTTAAACCCTGATTTTAGCATGTCTCTTTTAACCCCCACAGACTCCCTCTGTGAGGATTTTGCAGCCCACTTCACGGGGAAGATAAACACAATCAGATGTAACATTTTATCCAACCGCACAACTGTTTTTAACACATCTGATTGTTTGTCTTCACCAGAGGAAACACTGGACAGTTTTGTCCTGGTTGATGCTGAGATGCTTGATAAAGTTTTCTCCTCAGTGAGGCCCACCACATGTCTTTTAGATCCAGTCCCCACTCCATTTTTTAAGTCATTTTATGAATCTTTTAGAGAGGAGCTTTTAAACCTGATGAATTGCTCTCTGCAGACTGGGGTCTTTCCTGCAGCCTTCAAAGCGGCTGTGGTGAGACCCCTTCTGAAGAAGAGCAATTTAGATTTTAATGATTTTAACAACTACAGACCGGTATCCAACCTGCCATTTTTAAGCAAAATTTTAGAAAAACTTGTTTTTACCCAGCTCAATGCCTTCTTAGATCAGCAACAAATTTTAGAGAAATTTCAATCAGGTTTTAGGGTGAACCACAGCACAGAGACTGCTCTTTTAAAGATTTTAAATGATTTTAGACTAAGTTATGATTCTAAAAAGGTGACCGTGTTGGTTCTACTGGATCTAAGCGCTGCCTTTGATACAGTAGACCACACCATTCTTTTATCCCGCCTGAAACACCTCGGCCTCTCTGGTGCTGTCCACAAATGGTTCACTTCTTATTTAACAGACAGATCCTTCATGGTAAGTTTGGATACCTGCTCCTCTCAGGTCCATAAAATCACATGTGGTGTGCCCCAGGGTTCCATTTTAGGTCCAGTCCTTTTTAACCTGTACATGCTCCCTCTTGGCGGTGTCGTCAGGAGACATGGAATTAGCTTCCACAGTTATGCAGATGATACTCAGCTGTACATCTCCATGTCTCCTGATGACACCAGGCCAATGGATGCTCTTTTTAACTGCATTTTAGACCTGAAATCCTGGATGGCAGAAAACTTTCTCCAGCTCAACCAGGACAAAACTGAGGTTTTAGTCATCGGTCCTGAGGCCCAGAGAGAGAAACTTTTATCAAAACTCCAATCACACTCTTTTAATCCATCATCACAAGTGAGAAACCTGGGCGTAATCTTTGACTCTGAGCTGACTTTTATTCCTCACATCAAGAACATCACAAAAATAGGTTTTTATCATCTAAAGAACATCGCCAGAGTCCGCCCCATTCTCTCTCGGGGCAACACGGAGACGCTGATGCATGCTTTTATAACCAGTCGCATTGACTACTGTAATGCCCTGCTCTCTGGTCTTCCCAAAAAGAACATTTCAGGTTTACAATTACTCCAAAACTCGGCCGCACGTGTCCTGACTAAGACCAGGGGGCGGGACCACATTACACCGGTTTTAAAATCGCTGCATTGGCTCCCCGTGTGTTTCAGGATCGATTTTAAGGTTCTTTTAATGGTTTTTAAATGTCTTAATGGTCTTGGGCCTTCTTATCTTTCAGATTTGCTTTTATCCTATGAACCTTCCCGGCCCCTGCGCTCCTCCGGCAGCAGACTTCTAACCATCCCCAAAGTCAGGACACACACTCACGGTGAGGCATCTTTCCAGCACTACGGCCCCCGTCTCTGGAACAGTCTGCCGGAGGAGCTCAGGGCCACAGAGAACGTTCACATTTTTAAAAGCAGGCTCAAGACGCACCTTTTTAGATTAGCTTTTGATTAGTTTTTACTATTTCATTTTATATATTCTATTTATCCTCTATTATTTATTGTATTGCTATTGCTTTTATTCATGTATTGTGTGTTAGTTCATTTTAGTTTCATTTTAGTTTCACAGTTTTGTGTTTTACATATTGTATTGTTATTATATTGTTTTTAGTGTACCCAGTGTTTCCTCTGGAGGAGCCCTCTGCACTGGGAGCAGTGGTCGGTGTGGCTGTGGGGGTCGGACTCTTGGACCTGGTGGGGGCCTGGGGCCTCGGTTTCGGGTCTCCTCTAGATCCTGTGTCGTCCCCTGTGGCTACAGGCGGCTCTTTGCTCCTGGTGCAGACGGCTCCTAGGATGACGCTTTTTCAACTGGTTGCATCCGAACCCTGCCAAGTCTCTCATCATTGTTTTACTGTTTTACTTGTGTGTGTGTGTGTGTGTGTGTGTGTGTGTGCGTGTGTGTGTGTGTGTCAGAGTGTGCATGGGAGCGTGTGTGCGTTTGTCTGTGGTTTGGGATGGGTCTGTTGGGTGGTCGGGGGGAGGGGACATGGGCCGGCGGGATTGTTTTTAACCAAACTGTAAAGCACTTTGTGTTGCATCTTTTGTATGAAAAGCGCTTCATAAATAAAATTTGATTGATTGATTGATGTGTCTGCATGCCATCTTGACCAGACTGGAATTTCACTCCTCAATCGCAACGCACAGGTTTACAAGCATCTTGCTCAATCCAACTAAACCAGACTATAGGCGAGCAATATGGTTCTCACTATTGCTTTGTAAATGAAAAACAAGCCATGGCCTGTACAAACCTTTGATCTTGTCCCCCAGCAGGCTGCACTCGTGGTCTGAATAGTGGACGATGGGAGGAGGGGAAGGCGGTCTCATCCGGTCCTCTTCTACCTTGCGTCGGTGGCGCTCCTCCCGTGCCAACATCCGCTGAAAACATTCCCACTCGTACAAGTCGTCTCTGGCCTGAGCAAAGTCCACATGGAGACGCCCGCTGTCCTTCTTGTCGGTGCTGGAGCCTAGGCGGATGCGGTAACCTGTGGAGATCATCAGAAATATATGATGACTGTTAGAAAATACGTGCAAACAGCAACAATCCACTGTCAGATATCTGCAAGAAATGGCGGATTTGGATTTGCATACGTCTACATTATAATTGGAGATAGGATTACATTTGATATCAGCCTGGCTCACTTTGAACGGTATCGCTTGTCAATTCTAGAGTCTTCAGAACAGAAATCTGCCACATCATAAATGACTAAGCCCTAGCAAATGCATTTAAATATTATTACTTTATGAAAAATTCCTGAATGAATGCCAAGTGGTAAGTGTGACAGCAAAGTACATTTGTGATGGGAAATTAAAAGGGTGGAAAAAACAGTGCTTGTGCTAAAGCTCATCTCAATCTTCATTGATATATTCAATCAACTTCCAGATATAAAGTTTATTTTAAATCAACTCTGAAAGTTCACTGTGCCCGTAAAACCCTTGCCTATTTGGTCGGTTTGCAGTCTGCAGAAGACAAATGCAATAATTTCGGGTGATTTCCGCATTTCCAGGCCATGGTAAAAAAACAAATAACTGGGAGTAAGCAGCGTAAACAGAAAAATAAGTCAGAGTTCAGGGCTTCTGCTGTCAGCTTCAGGCTCCTAATCTAAAACTCCTTTAATATTTCATATGAGCTGGTAGTGGTGCCTGTGTGTGGGTGAGAGGCATATTATTTATGAGCAAACTAAACAGCTCAGTCATCTCTGTATAATAATATGGACTTCTCAGGGTTGTAAGAAACTAAACCACACATATTATTCATGCTTCATCTCGTTTGTTGTCTGGCACAAATATCTAACAAACAGGAATACTGGACCTCTAGAGATTGGCCAAAGTTCGAATCGTGGTCAAGGAGCACTAAACCGAATAACCCATGTTTAATAATACATAAGTATCACTCTAGTCATTGAGAGCAGCACAATAGTCGCATTTGTGCCTTGGTATATGTTCTTGTCGACTGAAGTTCAAAGCACAATGCAACTTTTTGCAGGTTTTTGGCCTCATTCAAAACAATAGTGCATGAAAAAGTTCAAGTGCAGTGTCCTCTTGCATTAAACTAATCTAAATGAAATGTGAACGTATTTGAAGTCCCAGTTTTCATTCAGGAATTTGGAAAGGTGTGGTCTAAGAACCACTCCTCTTCCCTATAGATCACAGTGTTGAGGGTAAAGGCGTTGCTCATTAATGTTAATAACATTACACATTTTTGTCACATACAGAACATGTTCATTTGAACATAAAACAAACATTTGTATCAGATGTCGCCTACCAGACAAGTACAGCGCCTTGTCCACGGTGTACTCCTCGGCAAAGCGAATGTGGCAGAAGTTTTTCTTGCTTTTGCGGATGGCGATGATGGGTCCACATGGACCAAAGACATCCTCCACGGTCTGCTCAGTAGAGTTCTCTGGTAAACCGCCCACAAACACAGTCTTACACCCGGGAGGGCGATCCCTGATGGCCGGAGGAGGGAGGTCTGCAACATATGTAAAGAAAAAAAAGACACAATTTGACAGCACAAGAACTAGTGAGGACTCAAACATGCTTATGATCTTACTACTCATCCCTTTGTAAACATTACAAGTGATTTAAAATACTCGATGCACAGCTGGCTGGATTTGATCCCAGGAAATTTACAATGGTTTTAGAAGTATGCACATTTGCGCCTGGAGGTGGCACAGTGGCGGGGACCATGGATGGAAAATAGCATGATGCTAAATCTGATGTAGCCATCATTTTTATGTAACTACACACTGTCCCTTAATTAAACAAACTCCATTAATTCATTCATTTGAAGATTATACATGAAGAGCAGGCAACATGTCACCATGACAGAATCATCAAAATATAGTGCAAAGGTATATACATATAGGCAGGGCTGGACTGGGACAAAAGAACGGCCCGGGCATTTTTTCCTTTTTAGCGGCCCAGGCAACTCAAAAGGTTCAAGGAGCCCTATTTGACAAAAAAAAAAAAAAACAGCGTTGTATAAGGCTTATATGAAGGTAACAGGGGCTGAAGCTGTATTAGCTACATTAGCTATATTAGCTTTATTAGCTATATTAGCCTAATATCTAAATGACAAAGTAAAGGCTAAACACATAAAAACCATTCATGATTATCATGTATTTTCATTGCAGCGTGTCCTGGACAGAATGACGCACCACGTGACAACTCTGCTTTAAGTTTAACCTTCATGCAATTGTACAAATAGAGTAAATAAATCTGCTTTTTGGCTCCGAGTTCACCTGCATCACTGTCTGTTCATATCCATCACAGGCTGAAGTTTGCTGGAGCTGAATGTCCTTAATGGCCTTTTCTTTCACCGTCTTTGCGAAGGTTTTTGAAGTCTGAAAATAGGTGCTCTGACTTTTTGATTAATGAATCTTTCAGTGAACGTGTTTAAAGCTTCATTGTTCCTCCTGTTGCAACAAAACCTTTCATTACTTCGCAAACATGAAGCAGTCCTTCCTCATTGACTGAAAGCAAATGTTCATTTTCATTCTTAGTCCAGTCTTATCGACTCTTTCTCTCTTTATCTTTAGGATCCATGCGCACACACAGTTAAAATTGAATATTACTTATACAAGTTTTTGCAGCATTGAAAAACGTTAAGAAGGTTTTTCCTTCTACAGAAACCACATTCAAACTAGAAATAAAATATAGCCCTCACACTCCATTTTCAGACATTTTTGAAAAGGCTCCAGGAGCCACTTTAGGGGCACTAAAGTAAGTAAGTAAGTAAGTAAGTAAGTAAGTTTTTATTTATATACTGCCTTTTCACTGCAGATCTGAGTCTCAAAGCGGTTTACAATTGTTAATTTTGGGCATTTGTATCTCACTCCACACAGAGATGGGAGCGGGGCCAGTACAGGAGGCACATGCCAGAACTATTGGACATATTTTTAGTGGTAGGGGAAACCGGAGTACCCGGAGGAAACCTACGCAGACACGGGGAGAACATGCAAACTCCACTCAGAAAGGCCCTGGTCCGACCGGGATTCGAACCCAGGACCTTCTTGCTGAGAGGCGAGAGTGCTATCCACTCAGCCACCGTGCCGCCCAAAAAGGTTGACCCCTGGTTTATACAGTATGTGGAAAGCAAATACTGTAGAGGATCAGGATGTCTGCAGTTTCAACAATAAAATACAGTACAATAGTCTGCATTAAACAGAGTAATAAACATGTCTCAGAGTGAGGGAGGTGACACAGACAATACTATTTTTTGTTACAGGGATGAGAATTAGTCAAAAATTCTGAAATGCATATTGGCTCTAAATCTGTTTAATCTGTTCACAACATTTTACTTTTGGGCTCAAACATGAACTTTTAATGCAATGGAAAATTTAGGTACCCGAGCTTTAATTTAGAGGAGAGGGGAGACGCGGACTGTTTTCTGCAGCGGTCTATTTATTGGGTGCACAAATTACGAAAATACATGCATGGTCCTGTGCGCGTTTATGGTCTTGGGTACATGGGCACGTTGCGGCTACGCAACGTGCCCATGTACGTTGAGTAGCCGTACAACCGCTCACAACACAACACGGTGAGTGTTGTGTTGTGAGCGGTTCCCGGTGAGCGGTTCCCGCGTCCAGCTCAGAGCCGCTGGATGCGGGAACACTGCGGCCGCTGAGGTGGTGGAATCCCGTTCGAGTACATACAGCAGGTGCCCCGCGAACACGCGCGCTCCCCTCAAACATTTCTCAACGGATTTACACTTTTCACAAACATGTTTTTTGTATGTGGCAGACAGACCGGCCCAAATATGGGCATCGGCCCTTCGGGCATTGCCCGGTACGCCCGATGGCCAGTCCAGCCCTGCATATAGGGCAGGGTAATAAGTAGATAGTTGTAAGTGACATTCTGAAGTTGCAGTATTGCACATTGCACATGATTGCAGTATATACTTATTTACAGATGAATGACATGTACAGGCTCAGCAGTTCTCATTGTACAGTCTGACAGCAGCAGGAAGGAAAGACCTGCGCAAGCTCTCCTTCAAACAGTGAGGGTAAATAAGTCTGTCACTGAAACTGCTCTCCAGAGCAGACAGAGTGTCCTGTGTGACACTATTCATATGAACCTCCCACCGACAATGTTCCAATCATTTCAGCCCTTTAGGGAGGTGAGAGAGAATCATTTTGAGGATTTAACTCTTGTCAAATAGTTTTACATGCAAATGCCCAAGGAGCTTTCTCCACTGATGAATTCTTCCATTAGATTCCCCACATCTCCAAAGTGATTTCTCTGACATCTGACATTAGATAGGTTTTCAGGCCAAAGGGAAAAGCAGGATAATCCCTTTAACATTCTCTCGCTCTGTCCTGGAGTCTGCTGCTGATCCACACGCTCAGAATAACTTTACGCCTGCAATACAATGTGCATCCCAATCAGATGTGTGCACAGAAAAAGAAAGCTTAGAACAACCACCAGAAAGCCCTTTGCAAAAAAATAGAACAATTTGTACATTTAAATGGTGAGATTAGTATTAAACAATATAACATACTTGGTACCATATTATTGCTTTGCATGGAATGTTTCAAAGAATGGGGTAAACATACTGATAGGAATCAGACTCAGGCAAAATTTTGTGAATAAACCAGCCAGGAGGCTTTGTCGTACAAAGATCCCGTTTTGCCTGAGTCTGATTCCTATCAATACCTTACATATTGCTCCAAAATATACAGAGTCAAGGCAATATAATGGCAAGTAATGGCTTCTTGAAAAGGCAGGGAATCTCATGGTCCCATACAAATAAATCAATAGGATACACGTTTTACAATACAAGACATCACTTTGTAATATTCATAAATATATTGAACATGATAGTTGGAAATACAATGTTAATTTTGAGAGAACATCTGAGCGATAGCATTTATTGATCCGTTATACCTGCAAGACTTGATATCAATCAATATTCTTTTTTTAAAGGAGACATAACACCACAACTTCTAACGAGTAATTCATGTATATTTGAGCCACTTATATTTATGCACAAGAAGCTATTGCTCTCCCAGGGCTCCTCTGACCATGACTGCCTTCGTACAGTCATTTTTTAGTCAAAGGGTGGCACGGTGGCTGAGTGGGTAGCACTCTCGCTTCTCAGCAAGAAAGTCCTGGGTTCAAATACCGGTCGAAACAGGGCCTTTCTGAGTGGAATTGGTATGTTCTCCCATGCCTGTGTAGGTTTCCTCAGGGTACTCCGGTTTCCCCCACCACTCCCCTGCCACTAAAAACAATAGGTCTGGCATGCGGCTCCAGTACTGGCGACACCGCTCCCACCTCTGTGTGGAATGAGAGACAAACGCCCACAATTGTAAACTCTGGTCTGTGAAAGGCGGTATATAAATAAAGATTACTTACTTACTTACATACTATTTTTGCTTGAAGGAAATAACTGCATTCTCAGCTTGAACTGAGGTGGAGCGGTGGCCGTCGGGATTGAATACAAAAGTTTGTGGACTCCTCTCTTTTATAGAATTGTTTAAGCCCAATATTGAGAACTACTACATCTTTAATAATGAGCAAAGGGACTCATAACTTTTTTTTTATAGCAGATAGAGCAACGTTAAGTTAACTATATAAAAGGAAGAAAGTAGCACAATCATAAAATTATCTTATGAAAACTAAAGTCATTACTACGGTCATTATCATATTAAATACACGTTTTTGCAAAGCATACCAATAAGGTAACACAGTGCTTTATAGTTAATTAAAAACAAGCCCACAAGCCCATTGACCTGTCAACCCAACCACCCAACAGACACACTCCAAACAACCCACATTTACAATTACATAAACATGGAGCATTTTCAATGTGTCTGGAGTGAAAATCCCAAACGAGATTCAGCTTCATAGTACTGATGCATCCGATGTCAATTTCAGCCGTTTTATTTCTATTATGTGCTTTTTACAAAGTAACCTTCAATAACACAAGAAAAAACATTTGATTCGTTTAGATTATTCATCCATCCGTCCATTTTCTTCCCCTCAATCCATTTCTGGGACGGGGACGGGGGGTGGCAGTCAGAGCTGCACCTGGTCCACAGAGCACCAGCCCCTCACTGATCCTCCTGCAGGTGGTGAGTCCACAGGAGCTGAGATCTTTCAGCAGGGGCTTAAGGCAAAGTGAGGTTAAGTGTTTCCCCAAGGACACAACAACAGCAGTCATCAGGGGAGTCGTGAAGTAGGTCTTGGGGTGGGCTCGAACCCACAACCTTCAGGCCCAAAGGCCAATGCTCTACCAACTGAGCTACTGTCGCCTCAATTAGATCATAATTATGTATATATTTTGAAACATGGGACACTGTACTCATAATAAAAAGTAAATATTTTACAGCAATGATATATCTACAATAGTCCCTCCCCTTGGCAAGATATCAACCAATAAGATTTTCTGGAGGAGAAACCTACAGTGGCTCTACAGAGGGGCGACAGTGACTCAGTTGGTAGAGCATTGAAGGTTGTGGGTTCGAGTCCACCACGAGACCTACTTCACGACTCCCACTGATGTCTGCTGTCACTGTATCCTTGCGCAAGACACTTAATTTCACTTTGCCTGAAGCCCCCGCTGAAAGTTCATGGCTATGCTCTCACAGACAGGATCAGTGAGGGGCTGACCCAGAAATGGACATGGGGAAGATAATCAATGATAAGGGCCTTCAAAGATTATAATTCATTTCAACCAATTAGGGATCTGCGCGGCTGAGCATAGCGGGGCTAACCAGTGCTTATATTCACAAAGTTTAACTCTATCAACCAAACGCAAACTCAAACATAGAAAACTGTGACACATTCAGACAGAATTGTGGTTGTAATCTCCTTTCCTCCTCCCTGTGATTGGAAAGATGCACTTTGGAGGTTTTGAGAAGTTATTGAACAAAGGAGAGTGTGACTTATGTCCCGTCTGTCACATCACATTCAACCACACAAGTCTGTTTTTCTGCAAAGGAAGGTTTAATAGCTTGTGGTGAAAGGTTAGTTTTAAACCACAGGCGCTTTTCCTCTGTCTGTGACCCCACAAAATACATTTTAAAGCTGATACAAGTTTCAACTTTCCTAATGCTAATAAAATAATAATAAAGATAATGGTCGTGGGTAACTTTGGTAGAGAAATTATTAATGGTATATTAAGACTTTTTGTACAGTTTTCTTGTTTTGTATATGTTTACGATGTTTTAATATTTTAGTGGATCACTCCTCACTGTGTTTCTCCCTGGAGGTTTCTCCCATGTTTTCTTGATTTTCATTCCGAGGAAAAAGGGTCTAAAGACTAGGGACTGGTAAATTGGTTACTCTGTTTGTAGACCGATAAATATTCTATTCGTTTGATTTTCAAATGTGTTGGCAAATCAACCGTTCTTTGATGCCCTTCGAGACAACTGCTGTTGTGATTTTCAGCAAAAAATAAAATGTTATTATGATTCCTTTCCGATTTCTGCCTCCAATGGGCACTGGCTGGAATGGAGCATATCGTTAACTTACTGGGGTTGGGAGGGAACAGCGTGCAGCTCTTGCAGTGGATGATCTCCTTGACGACCGGGATATCCGGGATCAAACCCAAACCCGGCATTAGTGGATTCATGGGGCTGAACTCCGGCATCATTCCCAAGTTTGGCTCGAAGTCTGTAAACAGGAAATACGGAGGAATAATGAGATCTTAAAATCAATAGCGTCAAATCAATATGCATAAATTACACTAGATAATAACCGCAGATCTATATCAAGTCACCTTTTCCACACCATGTATAATTTGTAAACACTCAAAGATCGTATATGCAGAAACACAAGTATTTTTTTTGTCATTTGCAGTCAAACCAACAACCCACACATGTTGAAATACCCAAGCACTCATGAATAAATTATAGCAAAAACTGAGAATATTTTAAGAGTTCCTACTGATTCAGTCAAGTCACTCCTACTGCTTGATAATAACCTCATGGATAATTATGCAAGCCATTATTTACAGCATCGATTTTCCCGGCAACAACACCCACACATGCTGCCTTCAAGTCAAGTGCTCACAGTCCAAGTATATAGGGCTTTTGAAATGGAAATGACTATGCCTTACACTATCTGCGTCACCGGTGCCTGCTTTGAAAAAGGAGCTGACTGTTACTGCAGGTGTGACGATGGAGAGTCGATAGAAAGGGGTAAGCAGTGGTGTAATAAACAAATGCAAATTGGAAAAAAGATGGATGCACATTTTATGATAATGTTAACCAAATCTATCCATCCAACACAGAGACCTCAATAGGGAGAGATACTTTGAACCAGGTTATAACCAAGCCCCAGTGATCCAAGATGGCGCCCATTCAAATGAATAGCTTGTGCTCAGTAGCGCATGGGACTTCACGGGCACCGGGAGATTAGCAGAACTCGCCTATATTTGGGCATCTTCTGGTCCTCCCGGTTCTGCGCAGTGGACGAGCATCCATGATGCATCACGCCAAATGCGCGTGTGTGGCTCTCAAGCACGCGCACGGAGGGGCTCGGCTGTGCTCGGCTGCGCTTTGACCAATCATCGCTGCTGGTCAGAGCGGGAAGGAAAGGAGCAGAGTTTGTGGCAGTAAAGTGTAAATTTAAAGAAAACCGAAGGATTTAAGAAGAAAAAAAGTTCAGGATGACAAGGGACACTAAAATCCCCACAAAATCCGACCTTTATGAAAGCTGTAGGTTCTCTGTCAGCGGAGGTCGAGCTGTTTTAATTTACATTGAGTTCTATGGGACTATTTTCTGGGTAGCCCGCTGGAATTTAGTCTGCAGTACCACGGGCGCCCCCTGTGTCCATGGGTGGGACAGCTGTAAGCTAGTAATACCCTATCCAGTTATTATTATAGTTCCATGGTTATAACACACTGCACATGATAGGACATTTTGGGTTAACATTTTTATTATATTCCTTTTTAAAACACAAACTCCTTAAGAGCACCACTAAATACGAGTGCAATCACATTTCCTCCTATTTGCCCCAAATGTAAGTGTTTAAAACAACTTAATGTGTGTTTTCTATCAACAGCAAAACAAGCCAAACTAAATATTGACCTTGGTGGATGATTAAAGGCTAATAGCAAATAATAAGGACACATCTCGGCAATCTTAAAAAACACAATTTTAAAGCAGTCACCACCAACTGAGATTTAATGGGAAATAGGAAATCCATAAGCTTGCAGAACCCACATTGAATTCTTCTGGATCATGATCTCTGAGAGATATGGAAAACAGATGTTGTCTTTAGTCCAAACATTCACGCAGTAACTGAGATGATTTAGCTGCAGACGCACTGCCTGACATGCATGTTGTAATGTTTGGCATCATACTGTTATAATGAATCTGGATCGTTGCAGGAACTACTCCAGCATTAGTCACACCACTTAAAGTACAAGCCATCTGCATAAATATAAGGCTCATGGTAGCTGTAAAAGCAGCGCTTTTAGAGGATTTTTTGTATATTTCTTTCCTTCTATAACTAAATTTGCATCTGCATTTCATGTGTTAAGAAATATAAGGCTACACCAATATATAATAAAAATATTGGTGTAGCCTCATTTCATATCTGCCACCTCTTATTATTCCCACTGGCAGTAGTAGGAATAAAGCAGAGAAAAATCCACAAAGTATGCAAAGACGAGCAATTGTAATGAACATGATTTAAGTGCAAAATGTTCTTATGGATGAGAGAAGAGAATGTTTTATTCAGGACATTATAGTGTGTAGCACACAGTAACCAGTAGGAATATGGGAAGGACTCACAAAGAGATAAGTAGTTTTAAATCATTTAGAAAACTTGAATGTGCATCTTGAACATAGATACAGTAAAATATAAGTACACTCTAATGTTGCCATGTTGGCTGCGCGCCGCGACCAAATCTCCATTCAGCGATGACCTCTCAAACAGTGACTATGTTTTATCACATGTAATGTGCACTAACGCGTCCTCAGGGTGCTCACTTGGGAGCATTTTATGGTGCAGCTGAACCCCACTACAGTACATTTGCGGTTTCACTGGCCTGTGCGCTGTTGTCTCATTGGCTCCTCCATGGCGCGTTTTGCCAAAACTGGACATGGCTTAAACGCACCAGCCTAAATGTAACTCCTAAGTTACATTTGTTGTGTTTATTGGACGTTCTTAAATATATGGAGTTGTTATGACCAGTTAAGGACCCACACCAGTCATAACAGGGATATGTGAAACAATCATTGAAACACAGAGTCACTTAAGGAGTTTGGCAATGTCTTTATTTAAGAGCCAAACTAAAAAGAAATAACAGTGGTGGGAGGAGTGGCGTCGCCCAGTTGTGCCAAAAGAACAAAAGTAAAATATAACAAAAGAGGCCAAACTCACAGGCTAGTCTATTAAAAGAAATGAAATAAAAAATGTCTATTCTGTTTTATCTAAAGAAAAGTGGAGTAGAACTCAAAACAACAAGGGTGGTCACAACTGATAAGCTAGGGAATCTAACAAAAGTATCTACGTGTTGTAAACGTAACTTAGCACCAAACTCACCTAACCAAACCTCCACACAGAAACAAATTAGGCTACCACCTGGCAGCTTCTGGCACCTGAGAGAGAGAGAGCCGCCCAAGACACTCCCCGTTTAAATACTCTCCAATTTGCCCCCACTCCACCAATCATGCACCATCCTCCTCCAGGGCACGCCCACAGCACCTTCACACAGAAGCAGAAGGGAGAGAACAGCAGCACACAGGGAAAGACAACTCTGATGCACGTAACAGGAGTCATGAACCTATGAGAAATTATTGTAGATTAAAGGATGATGTAATGTGGGAGGGGCATGCAGGGGTAATTAAGGTGTGCACGTTGTGGCTTGGTTATGCAGAAGGTATTGTTGACTACAGGAGTGAGAGCCTCCTCACAAAAAGATTTATTGTAGAAGTTTTGTATATTTTTATGGAAAATGTTATTTTTGCCTAAAGACTTTTCACTGTGCATTTTCATATGTTTTTGTATTTTTCCCACTGTGCCCCTACTGAGACCTCTTAATCACAACTCTAAAACGCATATTCTGTTTGTGAAAAATACCCATCACATACAGTATAAGCCTGTGCTGTAAAGACCATTGGCCCCACCAGCACTGGAGGCCTGTTTTTGCAGGACGCAGAATCTACTGAGTATCAATGGGCCACAAAGAGTGAAAAAGACCTCCACATCTCTCATGGGTCAAATGTGACATATTCAGCACAGTCTGACTTTGTGGAGGGGACTTGTCCTGATATTGGTGAGGTTTGCTTGTGTGCACAGGTTAGACTTATGTCCCGTCGCTGATCTATTGAGTACAGTTCTACTTTTCTAGTGCTTTTATATTCTATAGACCACATGTTCCTGTTCAAAGTGAAGCCTGGGGCGAGCCCTGTCCTTGTTAAATGTTGCAGATCTCAGCATATCCCTGTCACTCTTTGCTGAAATAACATTATCCATGTGTGTTAGTTTTGTGTGAGCCAGACTGTTTCCATGAGCTCCGGAACACGAGCGATGTTCAAGCCATTATCTCCACCTGTGCTGCTCTGGTTACAAATGAGAAATAAAAAGGCACATTGACATTGAAATGTGTCTGAATAGAATTAGAGATAAACAACATGATCCAGATAATTAGAAACTCTCTATCCATAATGAATTAATAGGCTGTGAGACTAGACTCTAGAGCCTGGCTTCATTATAATGTATCACTGTGCGGAGCCTGAGTCTGCAGAGTCTATTCCCTAAAGCAGGGGCCTTTTCACATTGCAATGGTTTAGATTTGTGTGGATGTTACTCATCTGGTACAATCTAAATGATACAAGACTCATTCTTGCATATTATTTTTTCCAGCAGACTGTTTAATGTGCCTTTACCTGTTAAGCAATGTGGTGTATTCAATTAAATGTAGTGAAGAGGAGTGCACTGACCACTATATTGGAGAAACCAAACAAACTCTACAGAAACGACTTTACCAACATCGTAGAGAAAACTCTAGTGGGCCACAGGCGGCTGTTCATCTCCACCTCAAGGCCTCCAACCACAGTGGATGACACAGAGGTTAAAATTCTGGCTCGGGAGAAGAATTGGTTTGAGAGAGGAGTGAAAGAAGCCATTTTTGTGAGGAAACAAAAACCTTCTCTTAACAGAGGAGGAGGGTTAAGATTTGTTTTGCCTCGCATCTATGACGACATCCTAAAAACAACGCCCTAACTTGGGACAAGGTCAGTGACATGCTAATGAGTTAGGAGGGGTGAGACCTGCACTCCACTTGAGCATCCCAGCAGACAATAGGTCTGTGACATGCTAATGAGTTAGGGTCGTTAGCCCTTCTACATCAAACAGACCTTAGATTGTTTATGAGTTAGTATCAGGATTAGGGTGTGGCTAACCACACCCATAGGATATAAATCTCCAACGCTCGGTCCGAGAATTAATTCCCTGAAGAAGTCCGCTAGGTTGAGGACGAAACGTCGGGAAAACTTGCTAAGAAGTACAGATGATGGGTGAGAAACCTTCCTTTGCTTTACCTGTTAAATGTTTTAGCGAGATTTGAGGCAACGTCTTTCCTTAGCAAAATTGGTAAATAAATATTCTTTTTCTACTTTAGCATTTTTATCACACGATTGATCCAAACGGACAGGACAATTTCCAGGGATGTATTGTATTGTTTATTAATTAATACTAGCACTTACAAAATTCTGAAACTACTCAACTCCGAGAGCAGTCATTCAAACGGCTCCCATTCAAATGAATGGATTCTGGAAAACTTCTCCATAAAACAGTTTTAGGTTTTCACTACTATTAAAATTCATACAGTTTTTATCTTTATTTTATCTGTAATAAATGCTGAAACTGGCTGCAAGTAAACAGTGTGTTGCTACAAACTAGCACTTGCTCTAAGCTGAGATTGCTTGGAACCAGCCCAGGATCAAGATAATTTCATAAATTAATGACATAGAATTGAACTGAATTTTTATACAGAAAAAGTCACAAAGTTTGGGAGACATCTTGAATGCAGATGCTTACAGACAGAAGCTTTAATGGGGCGTACCTGGCACTAGTGTCTGTGCGCTCAGCCCCAGTGGAGACATCCCCAGGTTGTTCATGGCCGTGGCCCAGGCTCCAGGCTCCGACATGGGCATCGGCATCGAGCTGGAGTCCATGCTCATCTTGTGGATCACTTCTGCTGAAAGACAGAGAATTACAATGACGTGAAAAATCTAGGATACTCGACAATCAACCACATTTATGGACATTTATCAACATTTATGGATATGTGTTTTTTGTCATTGCTTTTCTTGATTCTCTAGTCCGTGCTGTCAAATGTTAGAGTTTTGTAAAGTTCTCCGAAGTAAGTATTCTCATGATTTAGGGCTTTACAAAAATAAAATGAATTGAACATACATGCTTCAATACACAGAAAAAGAGCCACCACACACACACATACATGAACACACACACACACACACACACACACAGGACTCATTTGTTTCGGTTAGTGCTTAGATGTGACTAACTTATCAGCTATTCCAAAAGCGTATTATGCCAGTATCATTTGCCACAGTAATAATAGTGCATTTTCTATCTTTGTATCACCAAGTATAAAGATTGAGTTTCTTTCTCTCGCCGTTGTAAGCGTAATAAACATCAGCGGGGACATTTTAGACAAATTACACCAATTATATTTGCATTTCAAAATATTATTGTTGGTCAGAAGTTTTACAGTGATAAACAACAGAAAGGCAATTACTACCATCATTACCTGCGACCTATTCATATTCTAAGCAATGCCTCTCTCCTAGGGCTGCAAGATTTATAACAATGAAATGGAAGTTAGCGAACGCACCAGCAAATCGCAAAGATCACATTTAGCTGATAGGATTTTTTTTGCAAAACTCAAACTGTCTTGTCTCCTTGGGCTACAGCTTGAAAAAAGACAGGAAATAGACAGGAAATAGGATTAATGCAAATATGTCAAAAAAAAAACAAGGTAATAATAGAAAAGTTGGTCTTGCTCTTGGAAAAAGTAAGTCCTGTCAAATTTACCTTAATTCTTTAAGCACAGTTACATTTCTGTTCTCATTTTAAGGGGGTTAGAAAATGCAACCATGCAAATATTGTCTAAAAAACATCAAGATTGTTTGTTTCTGTGCTACAAATTTGAATATCCTGAGTGCACTTTAAACATGATCCTATATAACTTCATTAACAAATCCAAAATCGAGTCAAAATCACAAAAGGGCTCCTGTCTTCAATTGTTTAATTGGGCCATGGTTTCTTAGCTGACCAAAGATTGTACTACAGTCGATTACTACCATGGGAAAACTGCAACTATCAGAAGTAGTAGAGGATAGAGTTAAGTATTTCAGCCAGATCAATCTCTCAGTTACCACGTTCAAGCAATACTTTTTATTAATAAATATTTCATTGGTATTTTGTTTTTATGCCTATAGTCTTGTGAGTGCAATTATAGTTATAATGAGATGTTTCTTTAAAATCGTGCAGGCCTTCTCTCTCCTGTCCACCTCTCCCCCCCCTCCCTGCAGAACTGCTTTGGCTGCTGCCTGATCCAGCTGCCCTCTCCTCCTGATGCCAAAGACAACAGGGCCGCTAATAATGCACACGCTCAGAGACCACGGCTCCTCCGTTGTCTCCTCCACAAGCTGCTGCTCTCCTTTCTGCCGCTGATGTGTAATAATGCTGTTACCTCTCCGTGCGGCTAATTCCAGGCCAGTGTGCTGGTGATAAAGCGGTCTGTGTGTGTGCACGGATTGTTAACTAGACAACCCTATTAACTGAGCCACTGCTGAGGAATGAGACTCCATTACAGAAGCAGATGTGCTGTTTTCATGAAGAGATTTTACTTTAGGAACATTTAGTCTGCTTTGTTCTGTGCTGAACTATGTGTACAGTAAATACCCATGGATCAATATGCTTCTTCTATTTATGGTTTTTAAGTCATTAAGTCACGTTGTTCATTGTGCAGGCTTTCATTCTTTTTCACAGATGCATACCTCTTGAAGCAACCTCTAAAGGGCTTTGATTTTTACCCATAGAATAACCTTGAGCAAAGAACTCGGCCTTGACTTCAGAGAAAAGAAATGTCAATGCATATCGAGCTGAGAAGAGTCAGGTGATCTGAGATTCCTGGGATGCAATTATTGACAGTTTGGGGACATGCTGACAGATTTTAGCGGTGCTTACGACAAGCACCGACATCAAACATAAAATGAATTCAATCTCTATAAAACAATACCTTTTGAGGGTCAGATTTAATTGAGCTGAATGTGTGGGCTCTTAAAAGGTCAGTGCAACACAATTCATAACTATTTTCACAACCGAGCAGAAAGACACAGAAAAATAAACTATAGCTCATTAGGAAAAAATAAAACCAATAAAATAAAATTAGGAAATAAAAATAAACTTGTCTGGAAGTATTTCAAGCAAAGACATAATTTTTTTTGTGTGAAATTAATTAAAGAAAAAAACAGAGCTACCATATTGGTCAAAAACAAGAAAGCTGGTTCTTGGTTGATTCCCTGAGCTGACAGGATCAATATGACACAGGCCATAAAGAGGTCCACACACACAACACTGCTAAATGGTTTTACAACCACAACACGGCTGCTTCAGGGCTACGGCTGCCATTTCAAGTTCAAAACCACCTGACCTCAGACTTGGCTCTACTTGGGAAAGAAAATAAAACAAGTTGGGTCTATAATAACCACTATACCCAGGATAAATATTGGCTAAATTGAGCTAAAGACTTTCACATCAAAGTGTTGACCTATTAGCTCTATCCCCCATAGGAGTGCCCAGAAACTGACTGAAGATCAAAACAAGAAGCCAAACCAACACATGGAAAGACCTGGATCAATGAAACATGCTCAGAGGAAAGCTGAGGAGGGATAATAGGGAGACTTTGGTGCAGAAAGCAAATTATCCTGACCAAAAAATACTGCCACATTTTTTACAGAAGGCACTATTGTAAAAAATAAAGTCACAACAGTGTCTACAATTATATCTTTTTCAAAACCTGCTCTACCTCTCCGCCCCCCCATGTTCCCCCGGAGTCATCAGGCTGACATGGAGCTGAAGGTAAGACATCCAGAATAGGCTTAGTATAAACCTGGGCTATCATAATGCCACCTGTTTAAATACACTACTGCTTTTCCTTGAATAAAAACACACTGTATGTAGTGGATACTTTTAAACTTCACTTTTTTATACAACAGACCAAAGTGATGAACCATATCCACCAGAAGATACCAAGAAATTAGACAAAATTATTATTATTTTGTCCATATTTCTATTTTTCACACATTGTTAGTGGTCGCATGAAGCCATTAATTATCAAATAAACATTTATTAAATCCCAACCAGGAATGTCCAATTGAGATTAGGAACTTCATTCTCAAAGGAGTCCTGAACAAGAGGCAGTAAAAGTTCCACACAGTTACATTTTATACAATTACAGATTTTAAATATTTCAATGAGGATGTCTCAAGTGCTCTCAATCTGGATTTCAAAACATTCAATGAAAGAAGTTCAGATAATTTCAGTCTTTTTGCAACACGTTCAATGTAAAAGGAGCAGCATATACTGATTAGAGGTTTACAATCCCCAGTGTGTAACGTCCCCTTTAACATGACTTTTGTGGTTATGGATGACGCTCTTTATCCTCTGTGATGTGTATGTACTTTTCCAGGCTGTCTCGCATGAACCGTACGTTTGAGATCCCCCCAAATGGGCTCAATGACATTAAAATCTAAAAATAGAAAACATTTATTGACAATATTTGGCTTCGCAAGCATATAGTAGGAACCATAAACCATTCATAATCTCCAAAGTCATTGCCACCCTAATTACATGTCTGGCTGGGTGTGTAAATCCAACAAAAGCATATACTGAACATTGTCTGTGGATGATATAGGTGAATACAGCCAGGAATCGTTTGAACAGTAATCCCAGAGCTTTGCAGATGTGCAAATGGCGAGCTGTGTAATTTCAGTTTGATCCGCGTCCACCATGTGACCTTGTAGGACTCTGGTGTTTAACAAAGACCTCCTCCATGCGTCTGAAGTCTGAAGGACAACTTGACGCCAGTGAGGAGGTAAAAGGGGCCGAGCTTCTTTAAAACTTCAAACCTGCTCCTTTTTCTTTTGAAGGATGAACATAGCGGGGACCAGAGTGTGTTCGTGCTTTACTTTGTTTTCTGTCACGCGGAGATCACCAAACATTGTATGATTTAGCCTCAAAGCAAAGTGGATATTTCAAATAGCGTGTGTGTGGACATTGTAAACCGTTTTTGAAATGCATCAGATAAAAGAGCTCTTGGACATGGACTCCCCATTTGTTTGTCGTCTTTCCAGCATAAATACGTTCATAACAAACCTAGTGCTGTGGTCGAACAAAGAAATAAAGAATTCCCTGTCGAACTTTTCGTCTACTACTCTAAGAATCTTATCACTGTTTGATCAGAACCAGTCCTGACAAATAAGATCTTACATTTAGGGTTTGGCTCATCTTAAGCTTCATAGATTTCTGTTGTTCCTGAAATGTTGGTCCAATGTCTGCATGTCAAGACTCCAAACCAAACGAAAGCTATTCTTGCTTCAAGTTGCTTGAGGTTTATTTCAAATATAAGTAGGAAATAAACATAATAACGTAAAGTGGCTATTGTTATTTTGTTATTTTAGAACCAAGAACTCATGAGATTGACAGATATTTCCATCAAAATATTATAAAAACTGAATATTTCCCAGAGAAGACTTGAAGTTTACTCTACAGTAAAGGTGCACTTTATTTATCCCCATACATCAATTCATCGTCTGTATTTACCCATCCTGATGCCGGGGACCCGGGTGCTCTATCTCCAGATGTTGATGCTCGCCTGGGTCAGGACTAACAGAGCTGGAGAATTTACCTATTTTACATGTTTTAGTGGTAGGGGAAACCGGAGGAAACCTATGGGGAGAACATGCGGGACCCTAACCCTAACCCAGCATAAGACTGTCTTTGTCATAAACCTTCTGACACATTTTTCTACCTCTCATTCTGTCACTCAGGGGCAGTTTCACCACATGACTCTTAAATAATCTGTTAAAACAGACAAACCTTACATACCCATTCTTTTGGACATTTTTTCGGTTTATTGTCATGTGGTTTTGACGTCTAATTTTATTC